TCTTCCCCCCCCCCCAACCCCCTGCATCCCTGCCATCCCCAGGAAGCCAGCGACACAGCCCCTGAGTCCCGGGAACAAAGACAAAAGAGCTAGCAGCGAAGCCGGAACTGCTGGGGTGTGCTGCCGCAGAAATAAGAGGGTATGTTTAAAATTCTCAAAAGCAACCTGCTCAAAGAGGAATGCAGGCTGGGGGTGGGGGTGGGGGGTGCTTTCTTCATGGGGGGAGATGAGGAGATGGGAGATGAAGACCAGGAGGCTGCAGCAGTCTGTGCTAAGGTCTCGCTGTGCCACATTCAGTCCCCACGCCAGCTCACTCAGACACCATAGGGCCACCCCAGGCCCCGCTCCAACCCGAAGCACCCTCTCCAAGGTGGGACTCCTCAAACCATGCCCCCCTCTACCCTGCACCCCTGCAAGCCCAGGCTTCTTCTCATGGTGCCCCCTCCCCCAGCCCTACTCGAGGCTCAGGCACCTCTGCTGGTGGTGGCTTTTCTCCAATGTACCCACTCAGTTTCCACTACCCCCTCGTTACTCCCCACCCCACCCCCACTTCGTGTCCCCTCTTCCCAAGTCTGGAGCACAAGAAAAAATGCGGAAGGCGTCTGGGCACTGGGAGGAGAAGGCTGAGGAGGCAGCTGGGGCGAGCTGGAGCTGGCGGAAGGGAGTCCCATAACCAGGCAGAAAATCCAGAGTGACATTCTTCCCATGAACTCACCCCATTGTCCCTGGGCTCCCCTGACAACCCCCCCTTTCAGACACCAGAGAAAAGTGAATAGGACAGAATCTCCCACATCTGTTCCCTGCTGAAGACCCTGACCTGCTTCAGGGACTTGGAAGCAGGAGAGCTGGTTTTCAGGCTTGGAGTGAGACACATGAAGAGTGGAAAGAAAAAAAAAACTAAACTAAAATGTTGAGGGAGGAAATGCACCATACACTTTATTAGAACAGTCCAAATCCAAACGAGCCTATGAACTTAATGACCTTTTGAAAAGTTTGTCCTGCTGAGAAAGATGTTTAATTTGTCAAAGTTCAGCTCTGAAAAACCACAGAGTATCTCCCCAGTGGACCGAGGGGCGTGAGGGGAGATGGAGAAGGCAGGCAGGGTGGGGGGACAGGCACCCCACAGCGAAAGGACTTGCCTTTTGTTATTACTTGCTAAGAGAAGCAGGAGGGAAGGGGTTCATTTCCAGGCAGGCTAGAGAGGGTGTAAGCTGAGGGAGGAAGAGGACTGAGGGGCTCCACTCTGAGGGAGCCCTAACTTTTCCAGAGTCAAGGTCAAAACGTGCCAGAGAACTAGAAGAGATTTTAACTCTGACCCCTAATTCCATTCTCAAGGAGAAGGGGGCAAAAACTATAGCAGGCCAGCAGAAGGGGGAGTGGGGGCTTCCAAAGCCGGCAGAAGCTGAGCAGCAAGCAAGAATGTTTTCCCTTTTCTTTCTTTTTTTCTTTTTTCTTTTTATTTTCCAAGTTTGGGAAACTTGGTCAGACTCGCTTGCTTTTTAAACAACAGCAGCAGGCAGTGGACACATTACACCACTGTCTCCAAGAGGAAAGAAAATAATTACAGCTTCCTCCAGACCACTGCAGCAGGAGACTTTGGTAATTCAGGAAGGGGGTGGAGGGAGTCCTGATAGCCTGGTTGGTGGTGTCCCTCAAATAACTTTATGGGAGGGATAAAGGTTCTCTTAACAAAGAAGCCCAGGCTCCTCATTTTATGGGCTAGGAAGGGCTCCCTCAATTTAGGATGGGGGATGGGGAGAGGTGTTGCAAAAGGTCGCTCAGAGAAGACTGGTTCTTGTTTCCATGTCCCGGGGGCATCCTCCTGCCTTCTCACCTGGGACCCAGATGCCAAAACTGCGCGGCCAGGCTGCCAGGCTGTCAGCTGCCCGGTCCTGGTAACGTAGCGGGTGATCCTGCTTCAATTACATTGATTTCGCTTCTGGGGTCTCCTTTCTGCCTCCCAAATACACCCCCGTTTAATTTTTCCATCCCACATAATTTCAAGAGCCCACTTCGTTCTCTATGTACTAGAGCGTTTGTGTTCACTTTCCCCTAAGCCACCCATCTTAGGGAGCGCCCACAAAGTCCATCTCAGAACCCCAGGAGTATGAAGACTGAATCCCTCGTGTGCAGGGGCTCCTCTACTCGCGCTCCCTCCTCACCCAAGGTTGCTGGTGTCACCCGCACGCGGCAGCCTCCGCCTCCAGCAGCGGTCCCACCAGGATCCTTTGGTCACCGACTCAGGCTGGGCCCCACCTAAGTTTCCAGCTCCTGCTTCCACGGTTCTGACCAACACCCTCGTCCCCGTCACCCCCCTCCAGAATAGAAGTCAGGGTAAGTTCCGCCCCGGGAAGACTATGATAATGGGGCGCCTTTCCTCTCCCCATTAATCCCCATCAAATTAGTAGCCAGGAATCTTCCGCTTGCTCTTAACTCCAGTTCTCCTCCCGGGCCCTGGCTTTCAAGTCCCTGCTCTGAACAATCCCTCTAGATCTGGTCAAGGACTCCGCTCCTGCTCCCCTGAAACAGTCCCTAAGGTCCCGCCGCCGCTAACGGCCGCCACCCAGGCTCCCTCGCGGGCCTCTAAGTTTCTCCCAACTAGTCCCCGCCCGCGTTACCTGCAGCCTGCTCGGGGCTGGTGCCGTACTCGGCGTCCCCGCACTTTTCGCAAGTGCCCTCGCCCATGACCAGCGCCTTCAGGGGCAGCTCGGAGCCCGGGTGAGGATAGCAGCGCAGCCCCTGGGCGCAGCGCGGGGTGTAGACGCCGCACGCCTCGCCCTCCAGCCGGGCGCACACAGAGCAGCAGCCGCAGCCCGGCTCCCGGACCAGCTCAGCGCAGGACGCGCCCGGCTCGACCGGCGGGGGCCCGCAGGCTGCCAGGCGCTCGGGCGTGCAGGGCGGGCAGCGGAACAGCACCTCGGCGCGCACCCCGCGGCCGCCGCCTGCGCCCAGCCACAGCAGC